CAATTCCTGAATGAATGACTGTTATGATTTGGTTGTTTTTAGTTAATCAAAATACTGCAGCCAATGCATTCCATCCAACTCCAGAATGAATGTCTTTCATGATTTGGTTCTTTTGAGTGAATCAAAACTACACAGCATGTCCAGTGTAGTCCATCCAATTCCCAAATTAATGACTCCTATGATTTGAGTTTTATTAGTAAAGCAGAACAACCAGTGTAGTCCAACCAGTTCCTAAATTAATGACACTTTTGATTCAGTTCTTTGTAGTTAATCTAAACTATGCCTTCAGTGTATTCCATTCAATTTCCAAGTGAATGACTCTTATGGTTTGATTCTTTTTAGTAAATTAAAAACATACAGCACGCATGCCCAGTGTAGTCCTATTGAATAACTCTTGATTCAGTTCTTTTTAGTGAATCAAATTCCCTAACGAATGACTCTAATGATTTGGTTCTTTTTAGTCAATCAAAACTGCACTCCGTTTAACTCCAGAATAAATTATTTATTTTAAGTGAATCAAAACTATACAGCAGGAAATAACGACGGAACAACTAGATAGCGCAATTTCAAAGTTGAAAACTAATAAAGCTCCGGGCACAGATGGTTATCCGCCTGAATTTTATAAAACTTTCAGATCCCAAATAATACCCATTCTTGCTTAACTGCTTTAATTATATACTAAAAGGTGGGAAAATCCCACAATCTTGGAAAGAATCGGTCATCTCAATCATCCCAAAGGAAGGAAAGGATGCAGATGATTGTAGCTCATATAGGCCGATATCAGTCTTAAATGTGGACTATAAATTATTTGCTTCTATCTTATCTAATAGATTGGAGGGCATTATTTCTGAGTTGGTGGATCTAGATCAAACTGGATTTATACAAAATAGACAGGCACAGGATAATTTAAAAGAAGATAATAAGAAGTTGGTATCGAAATTATATGGATATATACAAAGCAGTAAAAATCATACGTCAAATTATGTAAAACAAAAATGGGAGAAAGAATCAGACTCTCAAATAACAGAGGAAGACTGGAGAGATATCTGTGTAACACAGACAAATACAACGAACTCAAGATCCTGGCGGGAGTTTGGATGGAAGATTTTAATAAGATTTTTTATAACTCCCAAATTAACAGCAATACGTACAAGTGAACAGAGTCAGGGCCTTTCTTGGAGGCAATGTGGAACCCCAATGGCTAATCATTTCCATATTTTCTGGGCATGTTCAAAAATACAACCTTACTGGCATGAAGTAGCAGCTGAAATTGGAAAAATAATAGGGGAGGAGTTGGACTTTTCATTCTTTACACTGTACCTAGGAAAAATACCTAAAACAGTTTCAGACAGCGATAAATACCTATTAAAAATACTTTTAGCAAGCAGTCGGAAAGCTATAACTCAGTTGCAGGTTGACCCTCCAACATGAGATCAGTGGATGGGAATTGTAAACTAAATATTCTGTATGGAGAGACTTACATTTACTCTTAGACATAATTTGGACAAATGTATTAAGTATTGGGATAAATGGATTGTGTACAAATACCATTGAGGATAAGTGTGATAAATTACTCCAAAGAGTGTATGGAAATTGTATTGTCTTGACTTTGTAATACCCATGATGACCTTTTGTTCCTTGTTTTCAATAAAAATAAAAGTAAAAAACAAAAAAACTATACAGCAAACCAGTGTAGTCCATTCAGTTCCTGATTCTTAAGATTTGGTTCCGTTTAGTCAATTATGATCATCCTGAGTGGTTTTAGTGTTCTATTCAGTTCCTGACTCTTATGAATTTATTTGTTTTAGTGAATCAAAACTATACAGAACAACCAATGTAGTTTCACCAGTTCCTGAAAGAATCACTTTTACAACTTGGTACTCTTTAGTAAATAAAAAAACATGGGACAAGAGTTTTCTATTTGAATTAAAACCACACCGCATGATCATAGTATTCCACCCAGTTCCCCAACGAATGACTCATATGATTTGGATATTTTTAGCGAATCAAATCACACAGCACGACCAGTGTAGTCTAATTCCCAACTCTTATGAACTGACACTTTTCAGTTAATCGAATACTGTTGGAACACTATTGATCAATCAGCATCCAGGACCAGAACTATCAGTTTTATCAGCTTACTTTAGTAAAAGACTTGATGTTTTTTGTGTTTCATAATGTTTCCTTTTGTGTACATGTGTAGGGTCTGTTTGCACGGCGGAGGCAGTTGCTACTGACTGAGGGTCCTCACTTGTACTATGTGGATCCGGTCAATAAAGTTCTGAAAGGGGAGATTCCTTGGTCACCTGAACTACGGCCTGAAGCGAAGAACTTTAAAACCTTCTTTGTTCACACGGTAACCGCAATCCCAATTATCTTCTCATACCACGTTTGCATGTTTTAAACCAGATATTTAACGACCACGCTTTGTTCCCTTAGCCAAACCGGACGTACTATCTAATGGACCCAAGCGGCAACGCTGACAAATGGTGCAAGAAAATCCAGGAAGTTTGGAGGAAGTTCTACCACAAACACCAGAGCCCCAGCCTATAGGACTGCAGTGCTCCCCCTTTGGCCACACCCCCCACAGCCCTCCAACCAATCACAGAACAGGGACACGCCCCTGTAGAGACATCTCTCTCCAGCTATATATTGTCTTTCTGTCTCTTCATATATCAGTCCCGTCACTCCCAGGTACCTTCTCTGTTCGGATTCAGTTGCTTCACGCGCCGAGGGTGGAGTCTTTACAACCAAAAGCAGCAAGGCCGTAGTCAGCATGTCGTGCAGGCAAGCCATAGAAAATCACACGTTTAGACGTTTACGCAAGTCTTTCCATCGATTTCAAGCGATGCTGGTAACGAACACTCAAAATCGTGCAATCTCCACCTGTCTGTTGCGAAACAAGCGCACACGTTCTGTTCTTTTCTCGCTCGACGCTCACACACGCTCGGCTCTTTACTTTTTCAGATATCTAAATGGGAGTGTGTTGCTTTAGTCTGCGTTTAGAGTTAAGGCGGGTCCTTTTACCCTTATTGGCTGCAGTAGCTGGTCTTGCTGATTCCGATTGGAGGATGTGGTGTCGAACGTCTCCTCAGCATGTTCACGTTTGCTACAAATCGCACCGGGAGACGGCACCACACCGCCACAAAAGCCACATGGGTAATGTGGTTTGAGAGGGTAATTCGTCACCCCTTCGGCCCCGACTGAGTTTAGCTGTTTTCCTTTAAAGCGCTTGCATTGTGACGGTATGCGTTGCTGATTGGAGGCTTGTGACGGAGGGGCAATCTGATCGTGAGTGTGTGTTTGGCTCCTCTCATTTGGCCGTTTTTAACAGGAAGTTCGTGGAGTGAGTGAGACGACAGACTGAGTGTGTGTGTGTGTGTGTGTGTGTGTGCGTGCGTGCGTGTCTTCCTGATCGGTAACAGATGACTGTGATGTACAGTTGATGTAATATTGCAAATGGGAGGTGATTAAAAAGGTGACTCTAGGATCCAGGTTTTGTATTTTTATTCTTGTATAAGGTTATTGGGCCGCTCCGTTCTGGCCTGGCTTCTGTGTTATTTAAATTCTAATATATGAAAGCATATTTGGATTGAAGTCATGTTCCAGGGCCTTGCTGTGTATGTATTGAATATGTAAAGCCTTTGAATGTGAAGAATTATTGTAAACTATGATATTTTACTGCTTTTGTTTTCTTACTATATCATATACATTTTCTATTTGCGCAGTGATTGGCTCATTTCTGATAATTTAATGCCTGTGTGCGCACGGCCCCACTTGTCTGTGTGTGTGCGCGTGCGTGTGTCTGTGTGTGTGATACGGTGTGTGTGTGCGTGTGGGGCCCTTGTAGGCAATGTGTGTATTCTTCTTGTCGGCCTTTTGTGCTCGGCAAAACCTAGAACTGAAATAAAGCATGTAGGGTTTTAGGCCAACAAACACATCTGTTTTTCTCCATCTGTTTGAACAGTTGTCTTTTTATTTTGTAAATATAGTATTTCTGTTATTTCGTTATTTTATTAATTGTTTTTCCCCTGATAGTCAAAAAAGAAAAATGATTTCTTGCATGAAGAAAAATTAAGCAATTTTATTTTTTTATAATATAAGATTAATGTAATATTAAAACATTTTAAATAAATATACAAAATACATACATACATATATACACATACTTATTTATAGTTATATGTATTATTTACAAGTCAGATTTACACATGGGGAAATCAATTAGACCCACTTAAGATATGAATTTACCGCCCTCTATAGTAAACATACGGAATTTCACATTTGTTCGTGCAGCCTTCCAGACAAATATATATGGGCTTTGGGCATTTGCGAATCAAAGGCATCATATGATCAAGAAAAAAAGGCTGTTTAGACAGGCTGCTCACGCGGGTTCAAATCCAGATATTCTTTTTGAAATCTACGGTATTGATAAATCCGAATCTTTGATTCGAATCGGTTCGTTCGGACGATTCGCTTCAACCTAGTCACAAACGCGTAAGAATACTTCGCGCTTTATTCTACGTTCATTCTGTGTTAAAACTGCTATTTTTCACTGTTTTCACTATTAGGTTTCATAAGTTACTTTGTTGATGTTTATTGTACTAACGTTACTGCTGACAGAAATATTCTTAATAACAGCGTTCTTTTTTAATATTATAAATTAACTTTATTTTAATAATGTTTATAATTAAATTAGTTATTTTCATTATTATTAATTATACTGTTCCCGTCTAACAATTTTACTGCTAAACAATTTTTTTGTTACAGGTGAGTGATTCCCAAACACTTTGCTAAAAGCGCTTAAGTCGAATCACTTAAAAAGTATCGATTCAAAAGAATGATTCGTTTTCGAATCCCTAGAAATTCGATCGCAAAACGCTACAGTGGGTCTAGATGTCGCAAATAACAACAGCCCGTGGCTTTTCAGTGTCTTGAGCCTAAAAACAAAAGTGAGGGGTGTTTCTCTGCGCCGTCTGTTGGTCACTGGAGAGGCGCGCGGTCACTTCAGCGGAACACCGAGCGCAGGATGGCCGAGACTCACGGCGAGATCAGCGGCCACGTCTGCCGGCGACCGGCTCCGGTACAGACCTTTAACCACAGATCCTCTAAGTGGGTCCGTTTGAACGTCGGTGGCACGTATTTTCTGACCGCCAGACAGACGCTCTGCCGGGATCCCAAATCGTTCCTGTTCCGTCTGTGCCAAACGGAGCCAGACCTCGATTCTGATAAGGTGACTACAGTTTGATTTATTTCATTTAGAGACCATTTCGCTAGTTCTACTGTGGTGGATAACATAGCCTAATATGTTAGACAGACCATTTATTTATTTAATGTATAAGTAATTTATAAAGTATGGCTTGGAAAAGTAGGTTAGAGAGTGCAGAAGTCTGTGAAACGAGACTCAAATACAGCCTCTGTAAAACCTATTTCATTTTAAGTTCAAATAATATTATAATACTACTGACATTATTTAGGCAACTTAATTGTGAAAATATTATGTAATTTTATTTATACAAACCTATTGTTAGCCAAGGTTGAGATACTGTTATAATTAATATATGAACATTAATAGGAAAGTGCATCTACAGATCATAATTTCTAAACAATGTGAAGAAGCTGTGATGTAAACAAAACCAAAGATGAAAGCTGTACATAAATTGTTTAAAAAAAAAAAATACTAACAGTCCATTTATTTTATTATTATTATTATTCACAAGACAAAAGATCTCTTTCTTCTCAATTTTGAGGAGTTTCTTTAAAATGGGTCATGGGTATTTAGCGTCATAAGTTCATAATCGCTTATATTGTTGTATAGAGTTATTTGTATTGTTTCTATGGTAGTTTGGGGCTTGTCCAGATGGTTGTTTTCCTGTCGGATGGACACGAACAAGCACACTTTTACCCCTCCTCTTCCAGTCCCAGAACAAGGTCTCTTCTGTTCTGCTCTGAGTGCTCATGGCTGGGAAGACATGCGGTGGATGGTGGCACCTTGTTTGTCTGTGGCATCCTGGGGTGGCCTTGCGATGACATTATCAGCAGATCTGCCCCAGTTTTGCCCCAGTCCCAGAACAAGGTCTCTTCTGTTCTGCTCTGAGTGCTCATGGCTGGGAAGACATGCGGTGGATGGTAGCACCTTGTTTGTCTGTGGCATCCTGGGGTGGCCTTGCGATGACATTATCAGCAGATCTGCCCCAGTTTTGCCTTGTAATCTGGACACAATCCCGCTTATGACACCTGAGCTGTGTCAGAGATCAGGGTGGAAAGGTTACGCTGCACGGGTCGGATCAGGCAAAGATCACTGGCGGAGCTTTCAAGTGAAGGCTTCTGATGTCTTAAATTGTTCCCAAAAATATTAGAATCTGAATTTTGCTGCCAAAAAAACACGGCACTGTAAAGAAATTGCTAAATAACCTAAAAATGTGCATTATGTGCACTGAGAAAAATTTGGTGTAAAACAATTTTCACTCAGAAATTGCTAGTAAATTTCCCAATAAATTACAAATTAATGCACTAAATGAATTGTGAAATTTTCAAGTAGAAAAACTGAAATAGTATTTTCTCTGTTTTATTTTCAATTTTGAAAAATCGTTTTTTACAATGTGGTTACAGCTAAATTAATGGGTAAAAAATAGTAGTAGAAGTAATAGTATTATTTAATATGACAGACTTCAGTATGAATCAGCCTGACTACACCAGCTCCACAAAATTGCAGTTTTTCAGTGTAAAATCAAGTGACAACTTATGGTTGTAAATGCATTGTTCTTTATCCAACCACTTTGAATCGGAAAACTGATCAAATATATCAAACATTTTATTGAAAAATATTTTTAGAATTGAAAACTGAGTAGGAAACAGCATTATTGTGACATGTTGAATGGATGAAATACATATTTTGTAATATAAAAATGAAATAATTGTCTGTAGTCTACATGATTATTAAATATGGCCTATTATTTGAATTTACATTAAAGCTTAAGTGCTATTCAAAGTGTTTTGGATTTTTTTTCTAATGTTATAAACAGGTTTAAAAACCACTTTAAATCAGAAAACTGATAAAATACATCAAAAACTTTTAAAAAGTATAAATAATTAAAACTGAGAAGAAATAAAGATGATGTAATATAAAATAACTTCCTAAACTCTATGAAATCTTACTGCCTAATAATATAATTTATCATTTTTTGTTAAAATACTTTATCTTAGAAATGATCTCATAATAATATCCAGAGATAATTATGAATTAAATATTTGTATTTTGATTCTTTTGTAAAAGTAAAAGTATGCACCGACCAGACCAGATTATTGTCTCCACCAATGGCGTTGGCTTGGGGGCGGGGCCACATGTTAGTTCAACCAATGCCAGATAGGGGCGGGGCAGTGTTTGGGAAACTTGTTTGAAACAGTAATTATTTTTGTGTTATATTGTTTGGATTTAGAAGGCGACACACCTTATGCACTTCCTCTTTAAACCTTGTCATATAATGATTAGTTAAAGTGCACATTTGTGATATAATTTTACTGTAGCAAAAATAAAAATCATTTGCACAGCGCATGTCACATTGTTTCGGGCTCACGCAGCTCCGGCTGTCTCTCCTCCTCTCATCTCTCAAATCTCAGGCGGTAATCTCAAAATAACCCTAATCCAGAATAATCCTGCTCTCTAGGGGCTTTAACCCTGTAAAGAGCAGGAGTCTCTAAGGCTCTGGGAAATCACTCCACGCTGTTTGTGCCCTAGTTTTGATAAAAGGGTGATTTCAGACTCACACACTGTTCCAGGTTTGGTTTGAATCGTCCTCGTTGAAGGCTGTGCGTTTATTTTTTATGACTGTGGCCTGCGTGCCATTACAGACAGATGCCGAGTCCCACAAGCGCACTTACACGCGCACAACGCATTAATGTTTAAACTCACTTTCCTCTAATGCTTCTCTTCACTCGCACGCTATACTGAAATAAAAACACGCTGTTTTTGGAATAATAGCGAGAACTTGATTTTCACTTATATGGGCCATTCTACAAAATTGGTCCAAAAAAATGTGGGGGAATAAAATGTCTTTTTCCCCCAAAAAAATTTTTTATGTGTGCAAATTGTATGATATCCAAGGTACACATTTCTAGTAATTGTGCAGTTAATTCTCATATTGTATTTTCAGAATGTTTTGGAATATTTGTCCTTGCGCCAAATTTGTCACTACCGAAACACAGTAATAATAATTTCATTAGAAGGGTTATATTGACCTATTAAGATTTTGCTTGCATCTACATAGTAAATATATAATTTTTGCTATTTTATTAATTTGTTTCCAGAGGTAAATCAATAAAAATGACATTTTTAACAATATTTCAAATGTAATTTATGAGATTTGTTGTATTTTAAATCTAATTTTTCTTTGTAAAAGGCAAAAAGTTGATCATACCGATTTCAAAGTTAAGGATTCATTAGTCTGAGTATACATTGAACCAAAATCTATCATAACATCTTAGCTGATAATTCAGTTTTGACAAAACATCCCATGTTTCGGTAGTGACTGCACATTTTCGGTAGTGACAGTAATGCTTTGATAGCGATCACATCACATTACAGAATTTTAATTCACATACTAAAACACTACTAAAACATACTAAAATACAAAAAAATTGCATACATGTACTAAAATTTTATTTCCTGCAAATATGAGGATTATGTGTTCCCTTTTGTCACCACCGAAACAATGATGACATGTTTCGATTGTGACTGTTTCAGTAGTGCCAATTTAATGGGATAATACCAAAAAAACAAAACAAAGATGTCACTACCGAAACTCTACCAATTGTTTCAGTAGTGACTGTTTTGGTAGTGACAATTTGAGATACTTTTGAACCTAGCTCAAAGATGCTAATCAGCACATGGTTAGCTAGCACAGTTCTGAACAGTTGTACAATTATAAAAACTAAATGTTAGGGAATAACTCCCAAAACGTGTGCTTAATTGCAGAAAAAAGGTGTTCGGTAATGACGTTCCTTAAAGTTACACATAGATTTTCAGACTTTTGAAAACAGTTTACCTCAAAATGAAGAGACCTATCTATTGACACCTTGTAGCTATGAGAGAGGGGGACACAGGAATATATATGTCCAGATCATAATTGTAGGGGTGTAGTAAAAATCAGTCTCGGCCAATGGACTAAAACATATACTGTTTTGGTAGTGACCTGAAAAATGCGGAACAGTTTTTTACACAAATTTTCATAATTTACAAAGAAAATATTATATATATATATATATATATATTAAAAAGAACAATGGGGAAAAAGTACAAAAAATTATTTCGATATCATTTTCATAAGTTAGGGTTCAGGACACCCACCTCCCAGTTGAAAGTACCTAATAAATGATGATTTTATATATATTAAGCTTATTAATATTTTAAATATTATTGTGGGTTTCAAAAGATAATAGAAGGATCTTAGTAAACATCTAAGATTTGAATATTTAAATGCTTTATGAATGTTTTTTGATTGTGGGACAGCAGTTTGGACCAAGTCTGTAGAATGGCCCATATATATATATATGTATATATAAAACGTTTTCTTTCTCTGTCTGTTGATTTCTACTGTAGGATGAGTCCGGGGCGTATTTGATTGATAGGGATCCCATGTATTTCGGGCCTGTGCTGAATTACCTGAGACATGGGAAGCTGGTCCTCAACAAGAACCTGACGGAGGAGGGTACGGCACACATCCACAGTCAAACTGACACGACTGAGACTGTGATTGCTGCTGTGTAGCTTTCATTCTGTTTGCGTGTGTGTGTGTGTGTGTGTGTTTGTGTCTCAGGAGCTCTTGAAGAGGCCGAGTTTTACAACATCACATCATTAATAAAACTCATCAAAGAAAAGATCAGTGAAAGAGAAGCCAAGACGACACACGTAAGGAAGCAGGAACACACAATTCACTCTGACACTTACACTGAAATCCTTTAAAGGGGTCATATGATGCGATTTCATTTTTACCTTTCTCTTTAGAGTGTTACAAGCTCTTGGTGCATAAAGAAGATCTGTAAAGTTGCAAAGACTAAAGTCTCAAATCCAAAGAGATATTCTTTATAAAAGTTAAGAGTTAGCCACACCTACCTAAAACGGCTCGTTCGAACACGCCCCCACATATCTACCTCACTATGTGGGAAGATTAGCATAACGCCGCCCAAATGTGCACGCAAAGAAAGAAAGCGTGGTTTCAGGAACAGCAGT